CCAGTCAGAATGCTTGTGACCAAGCGCAGAATATGTCTAGTCATAATCAATTATTTGGCTCCCTGGCAACTCTGCAGTATCTTGTTTCATCCCATCCTTCCTTGAATTTCACAAGGGAATGTTCTTTAAGTAGATCTATCACTACCGATTTTGTCAGGCTATTAGAAGGACCAGGTCCAAAAAGTATTTGGTTGGCTGTTTTCTTGGCCAGTGAATCAGCAAGACGGTTACCTTTCGATGTGGAATGACCTTCGATCCATCTTAAGGTGACCACATTCTTGGTGGATACTTCGGCCAAAGCTTCGTGGTCTGTTAAGGGTGAGTAGTGCTTGTCTGATATCTGCATAGATGAGCATGTTCCTTCCAGTGATATTGTTTCTGGTGATTTCTTTTGTTGTTATGAGAATCCCCGTGAATTCTGTTTTAACTACACTGCTACTTTTTCTCACAGCCCATTTTATGTTAAGGTTAAGGAATCTGTAGTATATTCCACACCCTGAGGCTTGTTTGCTTTTATACTCAAATTAAAAATTAAACAAAGAATAAAAACAATAAAATTTGTAAAAGTTAATGTCCGAAAACAAAAAAAAAACAAAATAAAAAAATTTTGTTTCAAATACATTATTTTCGTCATGCATGTTCTTTTTTATTTTAAATCAAAACATGATGATTATCTTGAAGTTAAATATTTTTCTGTGTTGATTAAACGTACAATACTGATTGTATTCAACTTATTACGCTGCTTTGACTTTATCAAATTTACTTGAGAAACTATCCTTTGTATATTTGCTAAAGAATGAAGCAAACCTACTAAATAAAGAACAAAATTTGCCAAGTTGGCGAAAACAGTAGATTTTATGCCTAAAACAGTAGAACAGAGACAAAAACAGTAGATCTACTGTTAAAACCGTAGATGTGGCAATACTGCTTTTGGAAGATATATCTCGGTGAGATGGAGCTTAGGAAAAAGTTTCTGAGTATACTTACACGAAAGCGTTTCGAGCGTTGGGAGAAAAGTGAAGGACCGCTCGGCAATGTTCGGAGATCTAGTCGGAGATTATTCTCGTAATTCTCCTTGCTCTATTCAAACCCTGCATTTAGAATTTTACAGGACTGGATCAACTTTTTCGAGGGCCCCAGGCGAGAGTTACACATCAATGAATGTGTGAAATTATAAGACGATTTTCGGTTAGTCTTTTGCAATCGTGTCTGGAAAACCCTCGAAGGTGACGTTCAGCCCAAGGTTCTGGTACACCAGGTGTTGAGAGGGTCGTTTTCAACGTGAAATTCGGATTCAGCGCCCCAAAAAAAAATCCGATAACGATTTTGGGTTCGTCTTCTTCGATTATGTGAGGAAACCCCTCGAAGACGACGTTAAGGGCCAGATTCCGGTGCACTAGGTGTTCGGGTGGTCGTTTTCGACGTGAAATTTGGATTTAGCGCCCAAAAAACGCCCCTACAATGATTTTCGAGAGCTGTTACAATTAAGAAATTGCTTACGGTGGAGCGAATTTTTGATAATTGGATTTGATTACAATGATATATCCTCTTATACAATATTATTTCAAAGACCTTTGACACATTACATATAATGGAAATGGGTCTATTTTTTTCAATATTTGACTTCTTACCATTCTTAAAAACAGGACTTTTAAAATGTTTGCTAAGGGAGTAACCAATGCATCAATGCAGTATTTGACTGAACTAACGTAAGATTATTTTTAAAACCCTGGTTTTTTAACCCATCCTTAATAAACATTCGGTACAACAACCCATAAGTAATTTCTACATCGAATTGACATTTAAAATATATTTCTTTATAATATTATTTTGTTTCAGTTGCCCCTGTTATAAAGGTTCCCAATCAACTACTGGGAGCTCCGGTGGCAACGGACGTACAACTCGAATGCTACGTTGAAGCATATCCCAACACAGTGAATTACTGGATAAAAAACAGAGGAGAAATGTTACTTAACGGGTAAGTGCTTACATAAACTACACTATCGTGTTTTCTTTTAGTTTTGTTTCTTGAGATGTTTTCAATTTTATTCCATTTGTACGTTCCATTTCCAAGTATTATACAATACGAAATAGAAGGAAATTGTAACAAATTTTTAGGACAATGGAATCAATTTATCACCATATAATGTACTATTGTACTGTGAATTTAACTTATTTTTATTATCTCCTGTTCTTTCAAGTCATAGTTCAATAATTTCAGTGATTATATCGCTCACAATGTTACAATCGTCTATATAGGCAAGGTCGTGCTAGGCTAGATGCCAATGCATAAAAGTGCCGTTACATGCCTTTTAATTCAAATTAAAAACTTTATTTGAGACTTCAAATTTACATAAAAACGAAAAATAATAAAGCAAAAATAGTGATTTTACTACTCCAATTTCTACCAATAGCAATAGCATCATATCTCAGACCATACCTACAATAACACTAGTTTTGTATAATTGCTTTTTTAAATACTACCAAATCTATGAGGTTGTCATAAATTGAAGCTGTACATTAATAGTATATTACGTAACAAGAGTTGTAAGTAACCCATTACGCACGAAGTGAAAAAGTTTACGAAGCCGGGCAGCGACGAGTGCGTAAAGTTCACGAGTGCGTAATGGACTTACAACTCGTGTAACGAACTATACTTTTTCTACGCCCACCTATTTTCTTCTATTAAATAAAGGACATATGATTGTGTCGCTAATCCATAAATTTTCGATAGGTAATTTCGTACCTTTCTTTGGATTTTAGCGATAACAAATTAGATGTGGCAGCTTGAGCTTTTTCTAAAATCTCCGATGGAGTGCTCTTAATTTTATCACTTTCACTACTAACAGACGTATTCGTAAGTAAAGTTGAGAAAGTGTTCGAATACAATAATATTTTGTTACTACAAAAATTGACAATATAAATGGCAAGACGTTTATTTCTATAACATGCTAAGAAAACGCGACTTTTTTTGAAAAATTGTACAATGTGTTGCCGACATTTAGGGGTATCACCTTTTTAATGCAAAATGTATCTCGTTAATGCTAAAAGTTTTTATGTTTTTCAATTGACTAAATTTATGTAAATAGACCAAGTAAAGTCGTACATAGATAAAAATTTGATTGCAATTTGATTAAATTAAGAAATTTAAATTTTCTTATCAAAACGAGCGTGTATGTTATGAGATCTCATTACGTGCATGTTATTGTTAAATGTCATTTACAAGGAATGTTGACAGTGCGCTTTTTAACGTTTACTGACATGGGCGTAAAAAAAAATATTTTACAATGAAGTGCCGTGTAAGGCTTATAGGCAAACAGTTTTTGCAAGTATTGTGATGTTTGTTTACTTGTGTTTATTTATTAATAATTTATTTAAACACTTATTTATTTTATAACACACCTATTCTAATTTATATATACTTCGAATGTCTATCTACTAATTACTATTTATCTTCACTGTCCATATAATAACTGATTGCACTGTGTTCTTCCACCAATATTTATATACAAATTTCTAAAGTTTGGTGGAGTCTAGAAGCTCCTCCACCAAACTAGAAATATTTGGAACAGACCAGAAATATTATCTCGTCCTTTCTCGAATAGTCATCGAAATCACCTCCGCCATATTCGTCCCATAGGTTTGGTCTTAAGGGTTTTAATTATGTATAATAATCGGACAAGTTGAGCCTCAAAGGCCAAATAAGACAGAGAGGGACTTGGAGGGTTAGAGCATGACTGAATAATGAAATGGCTCACATAACAGTATGTAACAACACTTGACTCGTGAAAATAAAAATAGAATAAGGCAGCAATTGCTTGTGATTTCTATTATTTTATCAATTTTTATTAATTAATTTTAATAATTTTTAATCAATTTAATCAATATTTATTCGAAACCTTTTGGAAACAATAAATTAAAAATATTACACGGAACAAAAAATGAGGTTAACCAGCGACCTCGAGGTTTTCTCATATTTTACTCAGTATACGTATTATCTGTATATAACAAAAACGGGCTTGAAACCTTTCATAAACCAAAGGAGAGACGAGAAATTTAATAACCCTATTTTCTAATATACAGAGCCGGCTTGAATCTAAACACAGACAATGCCTAGCGTTAATTTGCGGATGTAAGCGAGATTTTAGTTTTACCAGTTTAAAACAATATCTTATTTTTTACTGCATATTTCATCGCAATAATTGACTAATACCAACTGTTAATTAATTGAGCTTTTATACGTTTCAAAATGTTTGACACACATTTCAAAACCCATAAAATGTTTGATAAAGGATAATATTAGATAGGTGGACATTAAAGATATTCCAATACATTGTGTATGAGTCGATGCTTTATATTTGCCTTTCGTAGTGGACTGTATCTTATACCCAGATGGAATAAAACAACGCTTCAATTTTACTTTCTATAATGGTCAAACATGAAGACAACATTTTTGGATTGTCTATTTTGAGTGATTACCGGATTTCAATTCTATTTTATTTTTTTTTTTTTAGTTTCTCTAGTATTCTCGCCATAGGCGTATCAAAAGGTAGGTTTTGCAGTACTCTGCAACACATTGAAAACAACGACCAAAAGTAATATTGGCCAATAGTGATTTGGATTTGCTAGGTAACCTTTTTTTAAGATAAGGTTTATAATAGTTTTAGATAAACTCTTTTGGACTAGCTCAGGGATTCCCAAAGTGGTCGATACTGAGTCTATACTCAGTTACTTCTGCACACTGAACTTCGCTGGCTATAAAAACGCTCCTGCTTAGCAATATTTTTAGCTATTTTTGAACCTGTGTTGGAGTTTTTACTAGAAAAAGATCAAAATTTGAAATAAAATCTGAACAATTGTAAAACAGATATTTATTACTTGACTGATTTTTAACAAAATTAATTTGCATATTGGCTTTTGAGGGTAAACTTATCCTTTATAAACACAATTTAAGCAGAAAAGAATATTAACAGTTTCCGCATTTGTCAAAATTACCAGAAATGCTTCAAGACGATGTCATTTTATCATATGTCACACTTGAACGCATTACACAAGGATCATCAACACAGACAAAGAACTTAAGCAGAAGTTCAACCAAGGCTATCGAAAGTTGTGGTTGCAGCTCAACATTGAAACAGTATTCTGTATTGTGGAACATTGCTCAAAAATACCTTATCGCTTTTCCATCATCATACCTAGTCGAAAAAGGCTTCAGTGTGGTTACAAACATTTTGACAAAACAAAGAAACCGTTTGAAAATCAACGAACGCGAAGATTTAAGGCTGCAACTCATCAATATTGAACCAGATTTAGCTAGATTCGTAGAAAGTCACCAGGTTCATCCATCACACCAAGATTGCCAGGTCTAGTGAAATTTCACTAGATCTAGTGAATTTCGAACCGATCTATGAAAACTTTTATTAAATACCCTATTTTTAGTGATTTTTTGAAACTTAATTGACAGGGGTGGTAATGTGACAATCCGTATAGTTGTTTCAACTTTACTTAATCTGCGTTCATTGTGACTGTCTTGAAAGGACTGACTCTTATGTTAACATTTTGCATTCCAATATTGTTTAAACATATCTATTTCGTTGGAAGATATAATAATATAATAATTTTCGCATACAAGCCTTGAGAGGGTTGAGAAGTACATTGATTTTGAGTAGAATGAAAGAAAATTTACAAGTGGCTTCTGGGGATAACATATGGATAATTGGATTTTCCCTAACAAAAATTAAAGGTACATTATTGACCATTTTTTCACGCAATTTATCAATGATGAACTAACAATGTTGCCTTTTTATCCAACATTGCTGCAATCGATATAACATCAATACATCAGTTTCAATGTATGGTTTTTTCAATTAGATGCGTAGATTAGAAGAGTGATTAGAAGTGACAACTGACAGCTGGATTGTGGGAATTATGCAGAATTAGGGAGTTAATAATTATTTATTTGTTCTATTGTGGGAAAAACCGAAAAAATGGGATTTTAAAAGTACATACTTTCAAATTAAGGTATATAGGTACATTCAAATAAAATTATAAACAAATTTTATTCTAAAATATCAACACAAGGCGTTCAAGGTAGCATCGGGGAAACAGTGATTTCAATAAATTGATGGAAAAATAGACACACGTATATTACTTACTAAACTATACAGTGAGCATCATAAGTCTTACCCCCCCCCCCCCTAACTAACTTGTTACTGGAGTCTTGTTAGGAAAATCGCCGAGACACGTCGATTTTTGATTTCTACAATGTACATTTTTGTATGAATAGTTTACCCTTAATTTCATTCCTTACTGGAGGAGAGCAACCCTTTCGAAAAATTTAAATGGCATGGGGTGGTGAGTGATAGCTCATTTGAAAGGGGGTTTTATTCTCTATTCAACCCTGCAAAAATTTTTGAAATTTGCTTCATTACGTGTTGATTTATTAATGTTTAAAAATAACAAATAATCACAAATTGGAAAGCAACTTAACTAACAGTGACCTTATCTAATGGCAAAAGTCCTACTTCACGTCTGAACCAAAACCAATATCATGGAGGGCCGAATTTTAATTCTAAGGATGAGTGCGCTACGTTAATTTCCGTTATTATGAAACAATAATTAGTCGAAAATTAATGAAGCAAATTTCAAAATTTTTTGCACAGTTGAACAGAGAATAAAACCGCCTTTTAAATGAACTATCACTTACCACTCCATGCTATTTAAATTTTTCGAAAGGGTTGCTTCCCTCAAATAAGGGATGAAATTAAGGGTAAACTATTCATACAAAAATGTACATTGTAGAAATCAAAAATCGATGTGTCTTGGAAATTTTCCTAATCAGACTCCAGTAACGAGTTAGATAGGGGGGTAAGACTTATGGTGCTCACTTAATACGTTAATATTTTTTGGGCATATTTCTTGTGATTTTTGATTTTTTTGGCCTGGCAACCTTGCATTACACTAAATTTTTAGTTTTTTTTTATCTTTACTTTACTGTTTTAATGTTTTTCATTTATTTTTATTTATGTTTACGGTGCTTCCAATTTCCTCCCCTCATTATTATTTATTTATGAGTAGCTACAATTCCAATTTTCAAATTCTTACTTTTAAAAAATCGATATCTCCATACAAACTTTCATCCTACCCTCCCCCTTTTCTCCTTTTCTTCCTAAAATATGAAAATTCAACAACCCTTAAACACGTCATTATTTTTTGTGATAATTAGCTATAATTCCAATTTTCAAGTTTTTACTTTTAAAAAAAATCTATACAAACTTTCAACCCCCGCTTGCCTCCTTTAAAATGTGAAAATCTAACAATCCTGAAATACGTCATTATTTATTTATGCTGTATTTCAAATTTTCATGTTACATTACCACTATGCAAAAATCATGTCTGATCCCTTGCTATGTGAAAAAAAAACTAATCTATCCTACGGGAATCATACATTTTTTCGGGAAAAAAAGTAGCCTATGTGCTATTCCAGACTATAATCTATCTTTGTGCCAAATTTCATCCTGATTCGTTAAGCCGTTCTGGCGTGATTGAGTAACAAAGATCCATAAATCCAAACTATCGCATTTATATATTAGTAGGATTAAAAAATAAGTCTATTAATATATGGGGAGATATTGTGCAATATTTAGGTTAGCTGAAAACGTTAGGGGTTGTATGAAACTTCATTGAAAAGATCATTTAATAAGAAATTAATCAATATCATTGCGTCACTTTTATCGCTTACATATTGTAAAGTGTGACATTGGTAATTCAAAACACTACGTAACAATAATCTAACTATCTCCATGTTGCACTTGCAACAAAATAAAGTTAGTAAAAATGCAATCTTTTTTAGAGTTTCATACTCGAAGGGTAACCAACGGTACCCTATTACTAAGCCTTTGCTGTCCGTCCGTCTGTCTGTCAACAAGCAGTATCTCATGATCCGTAATATGTAAACAGTTGAAATTTTCACGGAATGCGTAGTGCTGTTGCCGCTATAAATATAATAATAAAAATAAATTAAAAATTAAAGGGGCTCCCCTACTAGAAACGTGATTTTTGGCTTAAAGTATTTAAAAAATACCTACATAGTACGATGCTGCGGGACCCTTCATGCGCGAGTCCGACTCGCACTTGACCGGTTTTTTCATTTTAAGTTCAATTTAGTTAAGATAATGTTATGTAGTGCATCGATTTACTAATATAATTATCATTCAAATAAAGTGCTATATTTTACAATATGTAAAAGGTATTATTCTTCTAGAGGGCGCAACGATCCCCCATACGACACCTTTTGTAATTTCTAAAAATTGAAGGGATGGTAACAAGGGCGAGAGGGAGACTTTTCCAGCATACTTGTCCCTTTGAATATTTATTGACACATTGTTTGTTTTTTTATAAAACTAATTCCTTCAAAAGTTATTTATTTCTATACTGCACCATGTATAATGAATTTTTCATTTCGCATATATTCAAACTATGTAAGTTTTCTTTTTTTTAAGATCTGAATTATTATGTTGTACTTGCTGCACAACTTTTCACGATATTTTGATTATTGTTGAAAAAAATATTGGATGGTATGTAATACAAAATAACTAGGTTTTTAATAAATACGATCAGGAAATTGTTATTGGATCCAACTCTGCAAAGACGAGTACAGAAGGAAATGAACTTTGGTCTTTATGTTGTAGTCTTTTGTGTGCAGCAAATTTATATTCAATTTCTCTCATAAATTATATTTTAGAGATGATGATTATTTGTGGTAATAAATCTTCCTATTTGACACTCCTTTCGATTAATCAACCATTATTGATAGGACCACTCATTCTTTCTTTCATCCGCTTTTTTTTTGTATGTAATCAGGTTGCTGACAGCAACAGAATATTTTTGGAAAAACAAATTAGAACAAATTGGTGATTTATGAGGTATTGGTTACTTTGTTTATTTTTTTAAATTGGTAACGATATAGTGTTGTTTTATAATTAATGACCTTTTTTTTTCTGGTATTTAACTTAACTAAATTAATAAAGAGTTATTTGGACTACAAATATACGAGGGGTCATTTTTAAATTCCTGGACTAGGCCATAAAATAAAAGACTGGAACAAGAACAAAATTTATTTGTGAATATACTTCTTCTAAATATAACAATTTTTTATCACACTATCCAACAGATTTGCATCCAGTTACCGGATAGGAACCATAAATGCATTATATAAATACATAAATACAATAAAATTACATAAATGAAATAAAAATTATATAAATAAAATAAAAATTATATAAATAAAATAAAAATTACATAAATAAAATAAAAATTACATAAATGCCATAAAATTACATGAATACTATTGTAAGGATAGTCTAATTTATTTATAGTTTATTTATTTAAAACACACTATTTACAACTTATTTATGACGTACTATTTAATTTATATAATACTTAGACACTAACTAACAATTCTAATTTATTTATTACACTTTAACTTTTTATTACAATGCCCTATACTAAACTGTGCGCCGATGAGTCAGCTATTTATACCAAGCCAATTCCGTGCTCATCGTTTCTGGGTGCTCCAGAAAATTCCATCTCTATGACTCAACGGCAGTTTTTCGAAGCGTCAGCGGCATTTCGTCGTTTTTTGTATATTCGAGACGCGGTCCGACTGTTTTTACACGTCAGCGTTGCTTCGATCATGAATCGAGTGGCAGACTTCTAAGGTAGCGCGTATACAGGGTAGGCTTTAGGAATTTCATGACACTATTCTAACTACATTGTTCTATTTAGAAGGAAAGAAAAATACGTTATATACTTTAGGCTATGTTAAATTTATTTATTGTCGCTAGGCTGCAGTTAAATATGTCCACGCTATGACATAGAAGAACGTTATGATTGTTACACATGCTGTAAAGTGGAGACGATTTTTGGAAATTTATCCTAGACGTAGGTAAATAAAACATCTGAGTATTTCTTGTACTAGGACGTGGCACGTAAATCTGAAGCCTATGTAGTACTTCTTCACAGTCAATTACATGGTGATTAACTTTGAATAGAAATACCTGTTGTGTGATAATTCTTCGGAACTCAAGCGATTTGACAGAAAAACGATCAGAAAGTGCATCATGGGGATAGCCTATAGCAGGATATGTTCCATCTTGTTTGAAGGAAGCATATTTAAGGCCCAACTCAATCTTGTTTGACATATAGTCACGATTTTTTTTATGTTACAAAACTTGCATTATCGATTTTTCATTCGAAGTAATACACGACGTCACTTTAAATTTCTATCTCTTTATGTCAACAAATATGTAATACGATGCAAATAATAATTTAATTTTTTTATTGAGTTAAATAAAATGTCAAAATTAAA